CCCACTGCGACTAATGTCAAATCCTATTTTACGTAATTCTTGTGTGAGTTCATCAAGAGTTTTTACGCTGCGAATTGATTCCGTTCGTCTTCTATCATCTGCTGCACTCCCAAATAAAGCTATATCCGCGATTGTTTTCAATAGTGAATGTTGATTGCTTTCAAGATTAGGACGTCCCACTGAATCCCTCAGAGATAGTCTTTTTTTTATTTCTGGATTTTCATTTCATTTCTTCTAACTTTCTTTTCATACCATCCCTGTGTTTCTTCTGGGCAACTGCGTTTTGAACCTTCCTGTTTAAAGACTGTTTTGCTGTTTTTATTTCCTCGCGCAACTTAATGATCTGTTTATCAACTTCAGCACGGCTTGGCATAATATCTCATTCAGATTTTTTTCGAGTAGAGCAATCTTATTTTTCATAGCTTTCTGAGAAGGTTTTGCTCTCTGTTTATCTGTATTTTCATTGATTTCGCATTGCTGTTGTGATTCATTACCGGGTTTTATTTTATCTTCTTCCTCTTTTTTAATATTTGAAGCTGTCTGTATAATTTGCGTTTTTTCTGCAGGTTTACAGGTTGCCTAAAAATAAAAACTTTCTATGGCTTCTGCTAAAGATTCTCTTATTAAGCTACATAAATACAAAGTATGGCAATATATATGGTAAATACAAATCCCTATGGCTTTAAATCTAATATGTTTAAACGAGCAATTCGTTCCAGTCACAAAATAGTTTTCAGTGTATATGTATAAAACTAACATCCTGTACTTTGTGACCAATTGACGGAATCAATCATAAGAAATAGATCTATAATATAATGAATATTACCTCCATACTTTGAGATAGGTCATAATATTTTCTAATCAGTAAAGAGAAACTCTTTGGCGATTTCTAATATTTCTAGTACTCATAGGTACCTAAAATGATTTCGTCACTCACCTTAGAAAAAAAATTTAGTAGATTGCATTTATTCTCAGTCGCCGCTTGCAATTCTTCTTCGATTCTCTTAGATACAATATCTAGTTCCTTGTCGGATTTTGCTTGTAATTTGTAATTTCGCCACACTTCATTAACTAACCTTTGTACATTTTGTACTTTCGTACTTGTATGAGATTTTTTAAAACTTTCAAACAATTTTTGGTATAGCTTGGATTTGTCTATGTGAAACCACATCTTATTTAAACATTAAATTTTGGCTAATGGAATCAATGGTAACATAAATGTTAACTTGCTTTACTATGCTTACAATACGTCTACTCGCTATAGTATCAAAACGAAACAATACACTGATAGAGGAAATTTAGACAAGTGAACACCGCGCGGTAATTCCCCTACTCGGTTCTAAAGCCAGTAGGGGAATTACCGCGCGCCGTTCACTAAACATATATGCATTATTGCGGGAATCCCCGAAAATGCGTTTACTTTTCAAGCAAAGACAAAGTGAGGGTTGCCATTCGTGTAAAAAAGTAAATAACTACCGATGACATAATCATCATCTAGTCTCCCCTACCCCCCATGTCATCCAAAATAAGCAAAGCAAAGACCCCCCTCCCCCCCATAGTGCTCACGAAATACTTGAACGACCCTAAGCACGCAAGTGTATTAGGCATTCGGATCGCTTTGGATATGATAAATGAGGCATTTCAGAAATATAGAAAGACACTAATTGCATCATAAAGAGAACCTCCCAATGAATATAATTTTCTTTTAAGCTTGTTTACCTGCTATAACCCTTTTTAGTGCCTTATTTGTCAACGTTCATAGGCTTTTATGATAACATCAAGATCATAAATATGCCTTGTATGGATCTGCCCAAGCTTTCATTTTCGGCTAGGCACAAGATATCGAGATGCGCTTTTCGCGGGCTTGTTTAGATTTCATTTAGCTACTTTTCCATAAAAAAAATCATACCAACGCGTTTAATTTTTTCGAGGAAATTACCCATTTCTGTCGAAATGCCCAGAAAAGCCCTCTAGCGGCCACGTGTGAAACTAATAAAACTTTAAATGGTATTGCAACATTTGTAGCCCAAGAATAACTATTTTCAACTTAAAATCGGATCATACGTTTCGAAGATACTGGGTGTTTTTTACGGAATCATTTGAATACCCCCCACCACTTTATTTTTAGAGATACAGCAAAAATTCTCGAATAAAAAAAGTTCAAATTATCCTCGAATTTAAAGATCAGGCATTTTTTAATATGGCGGAATACACAGAAACGCCACTTTTTTAGATTCAAGATTGCAGTCTTCTTGGAAACTTAAAAATACGTACCAGGTTTTTCTTTTGGCCATCCAATATCCAAAAAACCTAGTATCTGATAAATGAAGTGTCGTTGAGATCTGGGAACATGAACCCTCAATGCCATTTTTATTGCCTGTTATCCTTTATACAATTTCACAACTTTTTTATTGCGTTATTCTCCCTGCAACCAGTATTCGAAGGGTCAGGTAAAGCATGCCCTCACAATAGCACCTGTTGAGTTTAGGGCGAGACCAGATAGTGGGCGATTGACAAATTCAAAGGTGTGACTAAAATGAAACACGTGCTTTCCGAATGTCCACGGAGAATGCAAATTCATGCATGGGCCGGCACCACGGCATTGTAATCGCCGAAGGCGGTTTGGGTTCGGTCAGGTAGGCAGATAAGAGTGAAGGACGGAGACGACTGAGATAAGTACAACGGAATTGCTTTCAGATAACGTTTTAGGGTTTCGTAGGTTTTCGGGTTTCGTAGGTTTTTTTGAGACAACGTTGTATAGTGGGACTTCGGGAAGCTGGACTTTCTTTTCGGGCAATTGCAGTTAGAGTGCAAAGAAGTGTAGACACTGTGGTTAGGTGTTGTCAGGCATGGCTTCGAGAAGGCCGTACGCAAAGAGCAAGGGGCACTGGACGCCGCCGTAGAACAACAGACCGTGAAGATCGCCGCCTAAGATTATTGGCCTTAAGGGACCGTTTCTCCACTACCAGGTCCATTGCAAATGAATGGTTTGCAGAACACGGAAGACCTATTGGTATGTGAAGTGTTTACCGACGAATGAGAAGTTTTGGCTTGTTTTCATACCGCCCACACTGGGTCCTCCCTTTAACTCGAGAACACCGACGTAATCGCCTTGAGTGGTGCAGGCAACGGTCACTCTGGGATCAGGAATGGAACAGTATTGTCTTTAGTGACGAGTCTCGATTTCGTTTAGGCATGCACGATGGTCGTGCCAGGGTTAGAAGGCGACGTCGTGAAAGGAGGAATCCACAGTTTTTTGTTGAAAGACATGTTCATGACACTATTGGAGTTATGGTTTGGGGTGCTATAGCTTATGGTTCCAGGTCACCTTTAATCTTCATCAGAGGTAACATGAACGCGCAGCGTTATATCCACCACGAAGTTCTAGAACCCCATCTTTTACCCTATCTTGACACCCTGGCAGATCCAACTTTCCAACAAGCTAATACCCGACCACATGTTGCAAGAGTCACAATAGACTTCTTTCAACATAATGATGTCACATTGTTACCATGGCCACCAAGATCTCCCGACTTATCCCCAATTGAGCACGTGTGGGATATGATGGGTAGGAGATTACTCAATTTGCAACGTCCTCCTCAGACTCTAGAAGCACTTCGAGAGGAGTTGGTGGTTGCCTGGAATGAGATACCACAGGAGGACATTGACCAACTGATCAGAAGCATGCCTAGGCGCGTTGGAGAATGCGTAGCACATCAGGGTGCATCCACACATTATTAAAGGTCAAAGGGCTTTAAAGCAGTGCCATCATTTTGAAAGTTTTATCATTTACTTATTATGCTTCATACTTATACAAAATTTTATTAAAATAAAACTATTTAAACTGGGTGTTCGGATTTATATGTCACTTAGTTATATTCAAGTAATCCTTTCTGAAATAATGATTTGCTAGTTATATTACTATTGCAATTTTGTGAATAAAAATCTATATTTCCTCTTGTATAATTATTGTGGTAATGATTATACAATTCTATGTATGTAGTGTTCTAAATATTGTGGCAAAAGATGATTTATGATTTTAAAAATAAAAATAAGAACCAAATATGATGTGATATTTTTTATACTGAACCTCTGCAATTCTTGTAACATAGATTTTATTTTGGCACACTTATTTTTATTCAATATTGTTCTCATAGCTTTATTTTGCAGGACTTGTATTTTAAGAATACAGCTTTATTGGCAGTGAACAAAATATAGTTGAACAATATAATAATGATGAAATATTAGCTGAATCGACATTTTCAATTATTTCACCATTTATCCTAACTGTGAAGGTATTTAGCTACTGGCATACATTTTCTTTTAGAAGTATTCAATTTTAGTTTATTTACATTTAACCAATTTATGATTTTTGCCAAGTTAGAATTTAGCATTTTTAAAGCAGTGTCTATATTTTCATCTGATATGTATTAAAGTATAATCTGCAAATATCTGAATTTTATAATAATCTAAAATACTACAATGTCATTAATGTATAAAATACATAGTAGTGGGCCTAGTTTACTACCTTGTGGTATACCAATAAAAATATTTTTTGAGCTTGATAATTTAGACTTCTGTCAATTAAATAGTTTTGTAGAATTTTGAATGCAGATCCTTTAAATCCAAAGTGCAATTTTGTAAGAAATTTATAAATAACATAATAAAATAAAAGTAAAAAAAACATTGTGATTTTATATTAAGCTGGAACTCTGAGAGATGCATGATTTCCATAAAATGTAATACATTAAAAAAGTGGTGGTTTTGGACTGCCCAAATATATTCTAAACAGAATTTTTAATTAAAGGGAAATCATTAATTTCATCTTATTTTTTTGACTTTAACAACTTTAGCTCCCATAAAGTGGTACAGTGCCATCATCCATTGAATCTACCCATTGCAATTATATGAATATACTAAAGACTAGTAAGACTACAGATTACAATTTTGTGCAAATCCTGCTGGTATGAAATAGAAGCGTATATATTTTCAGAGCTATTTTACCTTCTAAGTCTTTTCTCCTCAGCTGTCTCAGTAGCTTTGACAATCTCCTTGTGTCTCTTTTCCTCAGTGGCTTTGATGCGTTCTTCACTCAGTTTCTGAAGCAGCTTCACAGAATCGTCTGAAGAAGTGCTATCACTGCTTTTGCTCGAATCTGAACTGGAGCTCCTTCTATGTTTGTGCTTTTTGTGTTTACTGTGGCTCCTTTTCTTATGTTTTGTATATTTTTCTTTATCATGCTTGGATTTGTGGCTGCTTGAGCTGTGGGAGCGACGTTCGTGTTTCGTCTCTGACAACCTACGGACGGATTTTCAATTTGTAATTCAAAAGGCAATTTTCAAAATAAATTCTAGCAGCCTATGTTTGTATTCTTACCTTTGATCTCTGTCTCGTGGCATTTTGTTAGATTAATTCGCTAGTTATTCCGGTTTATAGATCTATCGATAATATTCCCCTTATATTTCTAGAATAATTATTTGTTTTTGTGTTCATATTCATTTTTTTGTTGGGAATTTTTGAGGTTTGTGCAATCATCCAGCTGCCATTGTCAAATTGACATAAAGGATAACATGGTTAGAATAAAAACTTCTCATTTACATCAACAGTACTTGATGCAAAATAGGCGTGGCTAATAATGTTTGTCCACGCCCTTTTTTCGATTGTTGAAAAAGAGGCGTGAATAAAGGCGAATCCGTGAAACCACGCCTTCTTTGCTAGTAGTCTATCTAAGATCAGTGCGCTGCGGAGGAAATTTGACACATTCCAAATTTAAAATACAAATAATAGATATGATATAGGTTATTTTGTTGAATAAAACATTTTTCTAAGGTTTATATCTTCAGAAGAAAGTATAATGGAGTATCGAGTTAGCAAAAAAGAACAATACTTTTTCCACAACAATTTAGTATGTGTAGTGAAAGCATTAGAGGGCGTTTACACAACAATTGATCTCAGGAATGACCGCTATGTTACTGGAAAAATTGTTAGGGTAGATGGTTGGATGAATGTCGATATGATAGATGCTGTTTTTTGTGATAATAGAGGTAATAGCATTTTTGTCTTGTTAAATATACTAAACGACTTTGGTGGAGTACAATGTTGCAAATACTAATGATCTTCTTTTCAGGGAGTTATAGGACGTTTTCAGATTTCTTCGTCAAATCTAGAAGCATCAGATACGTTCACATTCCAAAAGAATATCCAGCAATGGAGTTGATAGAGATGCATCTTGCAGGAATGAAGAGAGTGAAACCAAAGAAGAAACCAGTCACTTTCAAAAGAAGTAGGGCACAGAAATATCAGAAAGAGACGCTGCAATCCCTTGCTTCCGCAGAAGCCCAACCAGGAACGTCTAAAGATCCTTGAAAGAATGTTTCTGAAAATGTGATCATGTTATTATACAATTCTGTTAAATGATGATTATGTGGGTACTAGTAAAGATAACATGGCCATGGGATAGACATACGTAACAACGGAGTCATTTAGAACGTGAAAGCGGCGTTTTCCTATCTCATTTGCATATTTTTTAAATGTTGTGCAACGATTTTGAGAAATAGCTACGATAGTAGTCTAGTAGAGTATATTTCAATAGTTGTCTTGCGTGACCATGTTATCTTTACTGGGCCATTATGTGATCAGAGAAAAATCAAGGCTGTTACTAGGATTTTTTGTGAAATATCTAACTATTAAAACCTGCAATGTTTTGATTTGGAAACGAAAAATAACATGTCAGTTATGTCAAGTGAGCTACCAAAGACCACAAATGGAAAGAGCTAAAGTGGACCGATTGCTAGCCTGGAAAAGGGTGGTGTTATATTTCAGCTGCCTTGGAAAAGAGGCGTGGCTAATCTTGTGTGAACACGCCTCTTTTCCACTTGACTATGATGGGAATAGCAGGTGATTTAAATGGCGCCAAAAAGTTTCGAATGTGACATTTATAGGACGTAGGTTATTTGTTTGGATAATCATTTTTCGGGAACACAAAGAACATCTTATCTTCATGAATACCAAAATGCCCTTGCCATCGTCTTATTCTCCAAACTATTTTTCCATAGACGATATCTTGGCAACGCAAGAGCGCACGCCTTGCAAGTTCTTACTGAATGTCCCAAAAATGGTAAGTACTGCTTCAAGTCAAAGTAACCAGTATAGCTTTCTTCATAAAATATCTAATTGTATGTATGAAACGTGTTAGGTCAACTCAATCCATCAGCTGCTGAACGAGACATTAAAGCAGGGACTTCCTTGGAGCTTCCACTTTGGCTCGTGATAGAAATGTCCGCTGGACGACAGCCGATCGTCACTCCAGAATTGCCGAAAGTATTCAGAGAATCTTACAGAGAGATACTAAAAGCTGATGCATGTGCAGTCGATCTGCACAAGTACAGCTTGCATTTTTTATGAAGTCGGATCTTATGTGAAACACTTTGGATCGCAGAGGAGATGTTCATGAGATTCTTTTGCATGTAAGCACTTTTCATTACAGCCTAGTCAGTTTCATCAGCGTTTAATATATTTTCCACAAAGCTTATGCTGAACATTATCACAGCACATAAGTTATTTCCTTAAAAGTGATAAAATCCCAAGTATTTCAATAATTATACAACTGGTTCCTATACAAATTATTAAAAGAAACTATATATTTTCGTGTTTTCATCCTTTAATAACTTTGGGAACATCCAGCAGCGATATGTGGACTAAAATTTTTTTACTAGACTATGAATTGCGTGTCTATTGGGACGAGAATTACGACCAAAAATTAGCGTTAACGCGCTCAAAGTGGTAGTCACCGACTCGGAATTTCGGTAATAAATTGTAATTCTTTGAAAGCGTTTGTTCGTTCGTGTACGTCACCATGATGAAAATGTTTTCTTTACTGAATTGACAGTTCTGTAATTGGTTTAAAGATGCGTTCGCAGTGAAAATTCAAAGTTGTCAAGGCCCGAATAGAAAGCCCAATGTTTTTCAAATGTTTAGACGTTCAAGACGAGATATAGGCAGTTGATGGACTTGGCAGACAACAGTGTATCGGATCCCTCAGTTCAACATTCGTTGGACACGCTAGAAAGAGAATTTTCATTGCGTCTCATTCTGCAAGGACGAAAACTGAACAGCTGGCTAATCAAGTCAGGATCACCTCTTGAAGCTGCAGAGTTGGTAGTCAACCACAAGAAGCGTAAGAGAGTTGATGTTGATGATATGAAATAAACATTTGTATGTTTTGTTAACAATATTTTATACTACATGGCAGCATAACGAGCGACGATGTTATTGGCGTCTATCTCGCAGCGTGACGAGCTCTCAAGGTCACAAATTCGCATTCTAAGATGTCATAATCTCGTTAAAGAACGTGGATATGAAACTGCCGTGGAGAAAATTTTTAAGGCTTATTTGTGAAGACTCAAAATTGTCTTCACAACTTTTTCTATATTCAATATTTATCGGACCATAACAAAAAAAAAAGTTGCTCAAAAATTGTTCAGTTCCTGTCTATAGTAAGCCCATCAAAAAAATGTATATGATTCAAAAACACAATCAATGTAAAAAATATATATTCACATTAAGTACAAATTCAATATTTCACGTATCAATGATTAATAAATTCAAAATGTAATGGCGGCATATTTTTGGGTTGTATATACATTTTTGTTTTGTCTAGCTCCAAATGATAACCAGACTTGATTGTTACTTTGTACATGGATAATATCGATATTATGGCTAATTTTATATTCAGTGTTGTTAGACGACGATCTAAAATTGAAAAATAAAAATTATTCAAGAAACACAAACAGAATTTTTCTTTACCTATCTCCCTATGTGGTCCTATTCCGAAAGGCAGAAACAAAGTTTCCTTTACATTATCCTCTAGAAATCTATCTGGATCATATTGCTCTGGATCAACAAAGTTGTCTTGATGATTCTGAATCCCATAGATCGATAGCAAATACCAAGATGTTTTTATTTTGGGTAATCCCTCAATATTCTTGCTCATTTTTATTACTTCTACTGGGACTGGGGGCCATTTTCTCAGTGATTCTGCAAGCATATTTCATCAAATCTACTAGCCCAATTAATAAAACCATTGATTAAGGCATACTACTCGCAACCTAATGCTATATTCACGTGTTCCAAAAATTATCCAAGAGTTATTACTACATACAGTAGCGGACAAAGTTTGGAAACACATGTTACATTATTATGAACTATTTCATTCCCTAAATTAAAATTGTGAAGGAACAGATAATATTAATATTAGAGTGTACCTTTGGCTCCCGTACTAATACAAGGTTTATCTTATAACATCAGCAAGAATAGAAAAGTGAAAGAATTTTCAAAAGATTTAAGAGACAAAGTATTGGAATTATTTGGTGTCGAAATGTTGACATTTCTCAAAGATTGAAAATGAACAAAGGGACGATTTCGAAAATTATTGTACTATCAAGAATACAGATCAACAACCAATTATGTTTTGGATCGCTACAATTTTTTATATATTTATTTAAGTCAAAAGAGTCTATTGCCGCTTGATAACTACGTTTGATGCACAAAACGTAAAGAGGAGCAAATAACATTTATTGAAAAAAGAAAACTATAAACATTTTTTTGCCTAGAGTTTACAGACCTTTGACAACTGCATCCATATAAGGCAGACGATCCAAATATTCGAACTGCATTTTTCCCTCTTTTGCAAATAATCGCCTGATCTCGCCAACCAACTCTTCTTGTATTGTGTCATCCTGACTTAACTCATACAAACACAGAATCGTTGACAACGTAGAATAAAAGATATTTTCAATAAAAATTTCTGATAAATTTTCTATAGCTGTACTGTCAACTTTGCTGAGATTTTGCAGGATATCATTTGTTTTATATCATTTTCCTTTTCTGGATTCAAGTTCGCGCTGTATTGAAGCTTTTACATAGAAGTATGGGTTTTATTGTTAAAGCAACTGTATGCAATGCTATAAAGTATTTTTTTGAAAGAAGAACTTGTTATCTCTTTAATGCTGTTTGTAGATATTTCTCATCAACGATAAACCCAAAAAGCAATTCAGATGTATTAAGAAGATTTATAAAATATGTGACCATAAGGTTCTCTAGTCAGTAGTTGATTACACTCTTCAAAAATCGGGTCCATTTTTTCCAACGCGTTCTGTATGACCTCTTTACTGATTAAATTATCAAATATTCATCATTCTCTTTCTGATACAATATGAGCCTCTCGATCAATGCTTGATCAGAAATCAGCATGCTGGCTTAAAAAATAAATACAGCCCACCATATTCCAGCTTTTTCCTTCTGAGTCTGTTGTAATGTTTCCTCAGAAACATATACCAACTATCATGTGAAAAATTACATCGCTCAAGTTGCCAAATGGCGCAGTGGTGTTGCACAATCTTTGATTCTTATTTTACCAAAGAAGGTATAAGCGTGAAGAATATACAAGAATAAAAATAAGACAAAGAACGTTATTGATACTAGGGCCGTGAAGAATGTCTTTTCATCTATGTAGTTTTGTATTCTTTCAAGTATTCCATGTTGAGATGCTGAGCAGGTTGACATTGTTGTGTAAAATGAATACCTGTAAAAAAAAACATCTAGGGTGGATGTCGATCGTCAGTTTGTTGGTTTTAGTGTATGTTACTTGTAAGCTTATTAATCTTTCTTACTACACAAGCGAATGGATATAATTTTTATGTATAAGGTACTCAGTACATACCTTTGTTAATTTCAAAAAATCCATATGATTTTCCACAAATACTGAAAACATCATTTCGTTGACCTAGTATTCCAACGCAAAATCATGTGATAATGATCACAAACTGTTATTGCTGTTTTCAGCAATTTCAACTTTTGCACTATATAAACAAACAAAACGAGTAATGTGTAATAATTACCACCTGTTCCCATATCTGTTGATCTCTACTGGTGGGAGGATCGTAAGTAGTAAAACCACACCCAGTAGCACCTAAAACTACACTGTGTTGTAAGTCCACGCCTCTTTTTCAAAGAAAATGGCGGCTTAGATTACTTGTCTGTGCTATTTACTTGGTGCTTAGTCTGTTTTAACACTTGTTCCATGCTTGCCTTGACACGTGAAAAATTGACAGTGACAGAAAATATAACCTAGAATTTTATTCCAAATTTTCTAAAATAATCATAATGTATTTTTACTAAAAAAATAGATGCAATAACTGGTCGAATATGGCCGATAAAGCTGAAAAGGACCAAGAAAAACCACCAGAATTGTCTCTGACCAAGAAAAAGATTTAGCCCAAAATGCCTTAGCGGAATTCAAGAAGTAGCTATTTTCGTTAAAGTATTGGTAGGTATACCTATAATATCTTATATTTTCCAGAAGAATTATGCTGCTTGCCTCCAGTGTATTAATAAGTTAGAAAATCGTTCGAATGATCTGCGAGTAGCTCATAATAAAGCAGTGGCAGAATTTTTCAAAAGCGATTGTAAAAAGACTGAACCGTTTCAGAAAAACCTTACAGCAATTTGTAATCAGGTAATACCTACCACAAGGCATACAACTTTAAATTACAAACCCCATTATACAAACTTTCAGTTTTTGGTGCGAGCTGAAAAACTTGATGATGTGGAACATAGTATCATCCAGTTTAACCAGGCTGTTATTTTATATCACCAAAAACAGTATACTGCAGCCCAAAGAATCATGGATAGGGTGTGCAAATTCATTGAACCTATGGGTAAGAAAATATTTAAAAACTTTTTCAAAAAATACAGCATCAATTCTGAGTCTACCGCTACCCTTTTTTAGAGGAGTCTCTTGCAAACAAGTGAGCCTTTTGGCTATAGAAACTGCAGTTATGCTTCAGAGAGCCAGAGAAAGCATTGACGCTCATAAATTACTTAGAAAATAACTTGATGTATGGTGGAAGCATTCCCCTAAAAAGCTTGATAAGGCAGGAAAGAAAAAAAGGTACAACTTCCTCCTCCAAAACCATTATCAGAAGAATTTGAAAAAAAACTATTGAGGTACAAACTAAGGTGCTATATAATCAACCATTCTTTAATACAGCCTTTAAAGAAGTGCAAGTTTTAATGAAGGATAAGTCTGTAAGTACCATGAATACCTACATCACAAGGAGTGTTATCATGATTTTTTTCAGAATATAGATGCCTTATTTTTGGCTGCAAATATAGAATATTTGAAAGGCAATGTCAGGGAATCTATGAAATTCTATCCTCAATTCCTAATGATGCATTACGGTTCAGGTAAAATCATTCACAAAATTTAATTTCAAAATATATCGTTCACTTTTTAGCGACTGTGGAGAGTCCTCACTATTATGTTCTACAATAACATGGGTGTCATACACCATGCTATTGGAAAACCTAACTTAGCCTGTCACTATTTTCAAATGGCTTTAAAGGAAGATATAAATCTATGTCAGAGTAATTCAAAAAAGGGAATGGTGAGTTTGTTTTTTGTAATTTTTGAAAAAGTCTGATATTTATTGCTTATTATGTATGAATTTTTTATAGAGGAAAAGCCATTACATATGTTGGGCGGCTCAAGGTATCATGAATTGATGTACAACTTAGGTATTTCCTTGTTACATGCTCATAAGCCTGTTCAAGCATTTGACTGTTTAATTGTTGCTGTCAGAAGGTATCATAGAAACTCTCGATTATGGATGAGAATAGCTGAATGCTGTATCATGGTTCATAAGGAGGTGGGTTTTTAAAAAAAATACAAAAGATACATATTTTCCATACTTATGCCTCCATGTCTCAATTTATGCTTTTGATGAAGCTCTGCAACCAATTGTTATACAAATTCATCCTGACAAATTTTTGTGTAATTACAGTCAAATGAAGTAGATTTTGAAAACAGAAGAATTTAATAGTTGATATAGTTGGTACTAAGGATAAGCAGAAGGTTATACTCACTACTAATTTGTCAAGTGATAAAAATATAGGTGAGTTTGTACTGAAATAGTTCTTAAACTACAATGTTGGTCTCACAATAAGTGTGGGTAAAAATTAGTGCTTTTCTAGTTTAAAAGTTTCTCCTGGTTTGAAAGTTTCACCATGCAAAATTTTTATCGTCTTTTAGGTCTGAAAATATTCCAATTTTTTTTTCTCTAATATTTAAGACCTACTCAAAGGAAGCGTCAATTAGATTATTGCCGATTTACGAGATTTTCTGAAAATTTCCTTCTATATTATATGCCCCAAAGGTTTACTACGTAAAATTGTTATCGCATTTCCTCGTGGATTTCTAGAAATTTCAAAGCTCACGAAGCTTTATTTGAATTAGAAAACTAGGCTCTTTCGTTACCACCGCCCAAACTCGGTGAAATCTGATATCAAATTCGCGATCTACGCTTTAGAATAAACCTATAGACGGGTTTCTGTCTAATTGCTTTTTTTGATGCGTACCTATTGGGGCATTACACTGGATGACCGAAAATAAATACGTTAGGAACTTTTAAATTAACGAAGTGTTGTTTTTTCCTCCCAATACGTAAAATGTATTTGTTATTTTAATTGCAGCAGCGAAAGCCAATCGTACGCCGTCCCCGTGCCCTCTCTGGAATTCGCCTCGTTGTGCCTGCGCAACGCCCTCCTATTGGTCCCTCCCTCCTCGGACTCTGCCTCCACTCCGGACCCTCTCTTCCTCATCCCCGGAGTCACGCCTCCCGCCCCACCACCACCGCCTAGCGCCTCCCCCTCTAATCCGTTGGACGGTCGAGAGGTGACGCAACTGCGCAACGCGATCCTGATCGCCGCGGCGTACGTGTCGCTGTGCTTGGGCGATTACGTGATCGCTTTGGAGCATGCACAGGAGGTGTTGGATGGCGAGAGCGCGTCGGATGTGCACAGGTACGATGATTTTTGTATATACGGGATGTTTCAGAAAGATATTTGTAGGGTGGAAAGTACGTCCAAAAAAGTGTCTATAAATACGGGCTCAGAGATGCTCCATTACCGAGATACAGAATGATGAACTTTTATTTACTAAATTTAAAAAAATATAAATGATGGCAAAAAAAATATAAGATATGACTCCTTAGCTCATTTTAGGAAGAACATTTTATATGAACATGAACATTAACTTTTGAGCTTCGGGTGTTAAATTTTAAGAAAAGTGTGACTTTATTTCTCACAGAGAACTCGTAGTAACGAATTTAATTTTTCTACACTTTAGGCTATTAGCGCATTTATATGCCGCGGAAGCTTTGATATTAATGGACAAAATAACAGACGCAATTGAACATTGAATCCAGGAAAACATTAAAAGCTTGTCATTTGATCTGCCATCTACTCTTGACAAATCGGAAAAAGTTCAACTCAGAACTAACCCACCACCAAGTAGGTATAATTTATACACACAATAAATGTTCAACGTTGGAACGAGAACTCTGACTTTAGTGATGGTTTCCTTTGTTTTTTACACGATAATAAGTTTCTTGTTCTGTACTTCCACGTGGCGTATGTCTGAAGATAATTATGAAATTCAAATTTCAGAGTGGTTTCCGAACAATCTGACATCAGCGCACGTAGTTATGCAATACAACATGGCCGTGGCAAAGACAATACGTGGTCAGTTGGACCAAGCTTCTGCTATTTTGAAGCAGATCTGGCAACAAAGGAGCTCCGTGTGTAGAGTACCTTCGCATATTGTGATGCTATTCATTTATATTGAACTACAATTGGGTAAGTGGAAACTTGTCAACCGTATCTAGTCGCAATTAGCACAATATGTTTGTCCTTTATAAATGTGACTCTTAAAAATATACCTTGAAAAGAGAGTCTTTGGTTCTGCATCTGTCTCATAGATCGCGGTAGCATCTCCCAGACCTGTGGCATTTAATTTTTTGGTTTCGCCAGGATGTGAAAACGGCCTTATTGATTTTCAGGTAATCAATTTTTTTTACTTACAGGGCATACGGACGTAGCTAAAAATCTAATACGACAGTACTCTGTGCAGCAACAGCGACTAACTAGTTGACAAACACTGAGTTGTGGCATCTGTCAAAATAACCACAAAATGTCACAAACGTGGATCGTTGTGAACAGAATCGAACGTACTAATGACGATTTTTCGATATAAATGTAATTTTATATATGATTTCAGATTATTGATTTCGGGCGTTTGATTAAATATGTTATAGTTTGACATTGAATAAAACTCGTATGCTAGGTGTGTCAATATGGTTTAAATCACCGTTTCCCAAGTTGTGGTCTGAGGATCGCACAATAATAAATAAATGTCAAAAAGTCTCGTAATTGCTACTGTTGCCTTTTTAACATGGTGAACGTGTTGGAAATATTCCCCCCTCCCTCCATTCTTCACTTAGCAATCCGCGGCACTCACCCCAAGACTGAAGTTTCACGAGGAGTTCTTCAAAATTGTGGTTGATTTGCTATCTGCCCGCAGTTAAAAAAAGGTTGGGAAACGCTGGTTTAGATGACAGAAATGTTAATGATATCATGATTTGAATTAATTTTAAATATTGGGTGCATTTCTTGACAACTTAGGGCCATCTACACTCTTAAGGTTTATCATGAAAATGATATAGTATTTATAGGAAAAATCAATTGAAATGAGTATAATATTTTATTCAACGCCCCTGTATGATAAATACTTTCAACTTTATTCATTATAAAATCGGGGTTGAATAGGTATGTTTTGTCTTTATACTGTAATTTATTTGTGTATGATATTAATTACATGTTATGGTTGTTGAAAAATAAAACATCATCGTAAAAATATGCGTTTTTATTTTTAAACTTCAATCAAACTTCTTCATCGGTACTATATGTGTTTGATTTTATTTTTATATATTGGTGCTTTCGACCTTTCGGCACACATTTTCTGTTCTTACTGTTTTCAAGGAGATAGTTGTATTAAAATTATTATATAGGTTACTATTCCATGAATCATCTAAAAAAGAATAAAAAAAATATGAGCGTCTTTCAGAGCACTTTCTGTGGAAATAGAAACGTTACTGTCGATTTGGCGTGTTGTAATTTGAAGAAAATTTTGAAGTTACTAATATCTTGACGCTCCGTCTCAGAAAAAATGAAATTTGATTTTTTACAGCCCATAATTTAAAAAGTACACGACTTAGATTTTTATATTTTCTGATAACTATTATGACCTGCATGGGTATCACGTATCTTGCCGATTTTTTTTGACATTATGTAGGTTATTCTACAAGATGTTAACTTAGCACTTAATTGTACGTGTTGCATAGACATCATGAGGCTTGTTATCAATCTTTGGCTTTGATGTAATGTAAAATCTGCTTCTAAGATGGCATTACTTCTTATCCATTCTGGAAATTACATATACAAATTTGCTGAATTTCAAAATGAGAGAGATAAGAAATAATTATATTCACTGTACACTGTCGAATTACAATCCATATACCTGCTAACAGTAATTAAACACAACGCGGGCGCGTTGATCATTTCCCGTAATTCTCCTCAGTTTTTTGTAATTCATAACTTTGAACATAACCTCTCTTCAGAAAGCACAACATATAAATAACCCGTCATATTCAGTAATGATTTTCTCACACAGCAAATATCACTGGTTTTATACACATACAGACCAATACACATAATCATCCAGATGCGATCTTGCTATTCAACCAACTTTCTTCTCAGAGATAAAAACTACAGACCCGGAACACTCAGCCTCACAAAGCTATGCAACCAATAATGCGTAGTTTAGTTGAGTGATTCCTCCACAGATGGACGTTCACAACGATCCTAGTGAGCAAACGTGGAATGACTGTTTGCGCCCTAAAAACTACCTAGTCTGCAAGTTGACATCTTATAGGTTTTTTACATGATACCCGCGCCGCACACATTGTCTAAATGGAAACGAAGACAATTAATAGGTACGCGTAAACGCCAATCACTGTTGTCGCTTTCTATGAACAAATTCGTGATCTCCGCACCCGATTTACTCCAGAAACGTGTTTCTGTCGAGAAACCTCCCTAAACAGAATGCTTACTTACCGAGTACAGCAGTTTGTTATTGACCGTAAAAAACCCTGCCGCTTCAATTTCACCTTTGCTGTTAAGCATGTGTAAAGAAATCACTTCCAGTTCATCCATAATACGTATTTCTTGAGTGTCTACTTTGTAGATGGCCAGACCTGTTGATCGTATCTAAAAACAACGTAACATTTCCAAAATTGTGTATAAAACAACACAAGTTACCAAGATACAGTGTGTTGAAGTTTGAATATCGAAAATATTGACTTAAATTTTTGTACATGTCCCAGTGAACATAGTGACGTCAAAATGTCAGCATTTTCAGGGTATTACTGACGTACACCGACCACCAAAATGACCTCATCATGACGTATGTCGTATAAAGGACCAAATACAAAGTCGGTATGACGTCTATCAGGTCGATATGACGTACAGTCGCTCGCAAAGTAATCGCTCGGTGTGTCGGAATGCTCCTGAAAAATCGAGGATGTGACAACGACGCCTCACAAGCAGTGCAACAAGTGTCAATTTATTCAAGAATTAGCTGGATAAGGAACTAGAAGACAGGGCGGCACGTTTTGTGCATTATCGAGCATAAAAAAGACTAGACAACAGTGTCATCGGACGTTTCCGCATACTGTTGTAGTAATAATAATACTAACAGGCAATAAATGCAACAATGTTTGTTCCTTATACTCTAGGCGCTGAAGAAAGAAACTAAACCCAAACAAATACACGCATATTGCTCGTGAGTGAGTGTTTAGGCGCAGGAGACATTACAGGACCGCATCAAGGTATTATGGGTAGTCATCAAAAATTTCATACAAGATAATTATTATCTTTTACAGTAAATTTCAGTTAGAGATTCACAAATGAGTTAACTACACTTTTTAGTTATTAGTAAGTAAGCTGCGCGCACTCATTCAGAAGAGGAACTTGAATCTCTGAATCGTTTAAATGAATTATTAGAGGTTCAATTTGGGTATCGATGACATTGTCCAAATCCCACATTTTGACCTCAACCTTCTCCCGAACGTGGCGGATACAGTTTTTCCATTCCTCTGCCGTAACTCTATTGACTGCGATGTGAAAGAGATTTTTAACATCAGAAATTTATAAGTATTATTATTCGACGCCACGTATTGCTTTATGTTGGCCCAAATCAGCTCGATAGGTTCAGCTCACAATGGTAGGGTGGCAGTCTCAAGACAGTTTTATTTTGTTTTTGGCCATTTCGTCGATCATTTTAAAATCGTATTTGTATTTATGTCTATTGACTATACTTATCAATTCACCCTTGACATTGTTTCATCAAAATCGATCTGTTTTGAGGCCAGCCATTGTTGTATGTTTGCTTTTTTAGTTGCCATTGTGGGAATTTTTTCTATTTTTCTAGAATGGTACGGGGCATTATCCAGTACAATAACAGCGTTATTCTCCAGCTTTAGTAACATTTTGGAGAACCTTTTTTCAAAGGAATTGCCGTCCATCTCCTCATGATAGTCCCCTGTCTTTTTTGATTCAAAGGCCCACAGTGCTTCGGGAACAAAGCCGTCTTCACTACCTACGTGACAAATGATCAGCCGTTTGCCTTTTCCTGGAAATAAATTATTCCTTACACTATGGATTGATTAAATTTGAAGGAATGAGGCAATTGAGTTCATTTAGCTGAATTTAAGAGTCACGGAATGCTGATCAAAAACTGAAAAACGTAGAAAATTGAAGTTTGCAACTTCTCAAAAACCCATCAAAGCAAATTGACTGCACCCAAAAATGATAATAAATTTCAAAATAACGCTTAAAAGAGGGTCGAAGTTTTTTTTTCTAATGACTACACTGCGAATGCACCATTTTGGAGAATATCACACATTATCTGCTATCACAGCATATTATTTGCCCGAATTTATCAAAATTAAATTGCCGGATAGATGAAGGAGCTTACCTGCAGGATTTTGCAATCCAGCCGAAAGACCGTCTAGAAAAGCCTGCCTGATGATGTTACTGATTTGTCGACCCAAACTTTCGCTTGAGTATGTCCAGCATTCACCCACGTTTCGTCCAAATAGTAAATTTTTCTTTTTTCATCGCGAAACTTCCGAATCTTCCTAAGGTATTCTCTTCTCCACACAACAATTTCTTCTTTCTCTATTAACATACTGTTTCTTCCCCGTTTCAAGAATCGAAAATTAAGTTCCTTCAAAAGTTTTCGGAATGTGGTTCTTTTAAATGATGGAAGATCCTCATCAGCATTAACTAATCTTAATATCTCATCTACTGTAGGTATCTCATTTCGGAAGAAAAAAATTATGCACTTTCCTCCTGATGGCAGTTCTGTCAAAGTCATCTACTCCGTCCGTTATCCTTTTTCTTGCAGGATACGGTTTTGGCTCAGAAAGTGAGTGAGTGCTCCTATATCCTTAATGATCCTATAAACACTGGACCGACATACTCCAGAAATATGTGCTACCTTACATATAACTTCGTCCACGAACAAATCGGGTTTTCTTGAATTTGGTTTTTGTATATATTTAATATTATTTGTTTTTCATTTGCACTTAAATGTAGCTTCTTAGCCCTTTTTTTGGGTGGGGTTGCGCTGATGTCAACCACTTCGTCGGCTGTATCTGTGTCAGACATCGTATCTTAGGCAATATATAAACAAAACGTTCCACTCGCGAAAAACGAGTATACGCTACTGAATGCGTAATGCGTATGCAATGCAATCCTGTGCGTGAATTAACTGTTAGATGCCTGTCGTGTCATCTACAATCACGTTACAAGTCCAAACCTGTGCAGATTCGTAGAGCGCCGACGACTGATAGTGACCTTGAATTTGTCTGTAGATCGATGTACTCCAGTCAATTTAGGTTCAAAGTGGATGTTTTCTAAACCAATTTGTTGTTCCTACATCAAAAATATATCGATGATGTTTTGTACTGGGAGCTCATGAAAGCTCAAGGTAACTATTTTAACAGTCATCCTTTTCTAGTCTCAAGATGACACGAAAAAGGGTCTGTGGATTCACTAGAAATACACTGCCGAGGATGTTTAGACCTAAAGTGACTGGAGTATATATCCGTGGATTGCTTTCGAGGGATCTGTTCACGTGCTGATCACTGTTTACGTTTAATGTCTTTCTTCAGCGCCCAGAGTTTCGACTTCAGCAGTGATGTAAATAATTGGGAACTGTTGATCACTAACGTTTTAAGAGTCTATCGACTTTTGAATAAGGTATCTGAGAAAATTCCTACGGGCGCCCGTGTTCACCGTAGCTTTATTTGAAACAATATTCATGTTTTGTACTTAGTAGCCTAAAAACTTCACAACATCCGGTTATTTACCTTTACCACTTCCAAAAGGTCCAAAAGAATTAAAAATAACATATTACAAATAAACTCTATTTTTGAGCCAATTTTCATCTTATCCTATTCGCGTCTACGAACAACACCTTTTCTACTGTAGAAATACTTTCACATTTTTTTTATCACCGTATATAAAATGTACAGAATTTCATCATTACGACTCTTGCCAAAGAGGTCCAAATGAATTTAGTGCATAGAAAATTACGAATTTGCAAGAAACTAGTTTGTGCGAAATTTCATCTTATTATCTGACTTTCCTAAGTAGAAATATCATTTTTTTATTTAAACTAATATAATCCGTTTACCTATTCAGAAACTCTATCAGCTGTACAACAAAGGAGCAACATTTCAAGGAAGCATTGATTGTCCTAAAAGTGGTCGTACCCCAACTTTTATCATCCTCTATGGGACAGTAAATCCCCATTACGATCTCGGTGAAAAGAATACCAAACTGCACTAGAAACAGCTTCCCATAGCAGTTGTTTATTTCTCCAACAATGTCGTCTATCAGGCACCACAATCTTTTAAACTGATTTAGTTCAACTTTGGTAACAGTTCTGCGACCCAATTTAAACTTTAGCATCTTGTTCAGAACGACAAGCCTGGTTTTAAGGAAGTATATGATAACAAAAAACTCCAAATAAATAGCTTCTATCAGGCTGAACTCCATGCTCCAAATTATTATCCTGTTACATAAATCTCCTGACGGGACAAATGGTGCAAGTTCCAACGTCACAACTATCACATTTGCCACTAGTTTGGCTATTGTTATCACTATCATACTTTTAACAAATATCTTGGCTTCATTTCCATATGTGCCTCCCAAAGTTCTGCAGAGACACCATAAGATTCAGTCTCTTTTATAGTGTACACAGTTGAAAATAAACTGAGTACTGACGTAGATCAGGCTCAAAAAACTGTATATCAGATACGCCACGGTGTAGACGTCGTTGTGGGGCTCGAAGCTTTCTGACAGCAGCAGAGTTTTGGAAAATGTGTAATAGTAAACACTCATAGCAATTGTACAGTAGCTGTACCAGAATCTTGAGATTTTCGGGATGTCATTTTGGAATGACACCGCGGAAGTTCCACAGGCGTTACAGAGATTATATAACAAGGAAAAAGTGCCTTTGAAGTGCTTAGACGCCATCATAAAAATAAAATGCTTGTAAGGGTTTTGCCTTTAATAATGAAAGCGGAGCGAATACGTAAATATATGTTTATTGATTTTCGTATCGTAAATATTGATATTTCATTTTGTATACACAACTTTCTTATGAATTGTACTGGCTGTTCTCATATAAAACATTTTTTTTATTTGCCCAATAATGTTTCTTTCATCATGCAACTACAATCAATTTTAGAGTTTATTCGGTGTTTTATTGGTCGAATAAGAATTACGTTTTGGAATGAACATGGTTTCCCTATTAGCTTTCACAGTTTGACCGAATCGCAATAATATTTATTTTTTGCGATGTTAGAGTCAAATGAAAAAAAATAGCGGGTATATGCGTAGCTCAATCTGAACAAAAATTTGCCTTCCCTCATAGGCTGGGACATGTCATATAACATCCAAAAAACATATACAGTGAAAGCTCCCATAAGCGGACACTCACGGTTCCGTAACTTTTGTCCGCTTATGGGAGGTGTCCGTTTAAAAGAGAGTATGTAAGTATAGAGTATAAATAACGGGGTATATAATCATGAGGAAATGAGGTATTATAATCATGAGAAAAATGAAACAGAAACTCGCCACATTTTTAAAGTATGTATTTATGCTATATATCTATATAATATATGTACATATACGCATACAAAAACATAAATGCTTCAATACATGGTACGAGAATTTAAAAAAAACAGTATTCTTTAGCTTGTTGAAAAAAGTTTAAAATGTTTGTCTGACGAAATTTCACCATCTTTTGCTGAATGAGACAATTTTCGTAATAACAAATGTTGAAATGCAGTGAAATCATCTTTAGCACATTTTTTCAATATAGAAATATGATTTAGAGCTTCCCCATATGAATTTATCGTTTTTGAACCGCTTAGTGAGTCCACCAGTTCCACTTCTTCTTCTGAGTCGTTTGGACTACCATATTCAAGTTGGCCTGGGCTTTCTGCATCCAAATTCGAAAAGTTGCCAATGGCATTTTCTTCTGTTGTTATGGTCTATGGCCAGGAAATCATCTACTTTCTGGGGATCTGCTACTCCTAAATGTTTGGCATGTCGCAGTAACTGAGCAAGTGTCGCTAAGGGCAGATCGTCTTCAGCATCGCAATAA